CTCCGGCGCTCCGCCCTTGCCTCTTGGTAATCTAAAAACACACCTTATGAGTGGTTAAGATCGTCTTAATTTTATGCTTACTGGTTATTTTTATTTTATTCAAAAGTGACCTTAGCCTTTGATCACTTAATAATGGATGACATCAAAAACCATGATGCCAAAATGCTAAACCTAAATGTGCAATATTTAATAGTAAAAGTGCTCATGTGATATGTAAGGGTGCACATTAACCTTTTTTTGAATATCACCAAACGATTTTTATAATTGTTAGGAGTATTTTATTTCAAAACGTCATGCACTTTTGTGTTAGTTGAATGCACTTTTCTCCATAGCAATGCACATATATCACTTTATTTTTCAAAAAGATTCCTAATATTTACACTTTTGCCACCACATTTTATAGTTTAAAATTGATATCATCCACTTATTCTCTCATTGTAATGGCTAAGATTATTTCTCATTTTTCATATGAGGTGTACTTTGTGTTTGAACCTCCCCTCTATGACTATATGTATATGACTATCAAACGAGAATCATGCTTAACGTGAAAACCGTGAGAACAACACTTTTAATTCGATGTAATATATTATAACGTTTGTATGTTACACTCAAATAAACTTACGCATACACAACTTAAATTTATTCTAAGTACACACTTGATCCATCCCTTATTTGATTCATTTAATTATGAACGTAACTTTGAACAAATTACAAACGGTGTGATTAAGATTTATTTCAAACATGTAAGTAAGATATCTTAATGTTTTTGTGAAGGAATGAAATATTCTATTAGTTATAGAAATAATTACATAAATATGACCAAAATAAAGATGATTTACAAAAATATGATTAGTCGTTATTATTAGAGTAGTAATGAAATCATAGTAATTCATGTTCAAGTTTTGAATTTAAGTTACCACAACACTACATTTTAGTAATGAATAGTCATATTTATGTAAATAAGATTTATTTTAGTAATATATTGTAAAAAACCCTTATTTATAACTGATTTGATAATATTTTTCTTAATGTGGTAAATTGTATGTGGCAAGGGTATGTATGTAAGATGATATTTAGTGCAAGTTCACCCAATGATAAATCGCCACTATATGTATATATCATGAAGGCCGACTGAGCAGCTAGGGAAAGAATTGAAGGAATGGGCTGGATCATTCCAAGGTAAGCAATTTGATGAGTTAGCTATATATCTAGCGATAGTTGCGATAGACGGGGCTGTACATGCAACTCTCGGCGTACTTGACAAGATCCCTTGGTCGGGGAAGACGTGAAGCAAGACCTGCATATATAATACGTATAGATGATCGATCGATCAGAGTAATTTAAGTACGTACGTACGTACAACTCTAAACATTAACACCATTGTCCTTAATTAATTAGCTTTTGAGATCGAGTAATTATTAATAAGATAGCGGTCCGGGCGGACTAGGTCACGACTCACCAAGTTCATAAGCCTTTGCTGCTACGCTGGCGGCAATGTGAGCTGATATCTTTCGTATTGTATGTTGTGAATGGTGGGTATATCACTCCCTGCTCCACGTACCTTTAATTTCTTCTCTCGCATCTTCCGCCAACGCTTCCGCTGATCCATGCATGCATTTTAATTTATATATATATATATATGAGATATGAGAGCAATTCACACATTTTTTATGAATACTGATCCATCAACAAGCTAAGCTAGCTAAGATAATGATCGAGCTGAGTACGTGTAGGTGTTTTTATTTATTAAAGATCGAGCAATAATTACAGTGGCCGGCATATTGGCCTGGATGGTACGTGAAATTGGTAGCATATAATACTACGTACGTGCGCGCGTATAGTAAATATTTTAGGGAGAAAGACTTCAATAAGATCAAAACATAGGCTGAGTAAGTAAATAGGACCCGAATCTTTTTAACCTCTAAATAGGACTAAGTTTTTATCGGATAGACAAAAATACCCCTGCTCCTTAAAAACCTCTGCATCCCGCTACTTACAGCAATTGGATAGAGCTGCGATTAAATACTCAGAGGGGAACCAAATGGACCAATCGAAACCAAGTAAAAGTTCACCATATACGGCGACAGTGCGACACCGCCTCCGTTGTCTCCGCCTTGTGTCCTCCACCGTCTCCCTTGGGATTGACCGTTCCTTGGCCGAAGCCTTCTTCAACTCCAACAGGCGACAACCTGCACCTGGCGGACAGTCGAATGTTTAGTGTTAACAGCCGGTCAACCGCTAATTATCGCCGGAGTATATGTTACTGGCCGTCGTCGGATCGTCATCTTCTTTCTCGTATTTTTTGCTACGATTTCGATCCTTTCCTTGGCGTGAACCCCGTTTAGGTGTCGATGCCTAGATCTGTGACTTTTTTCTTTTTGCTTTCTTCTTCTTCTTTTTTATTTTCCTTTTTATTTTATAAAGCAGTGGGAAATTAGAGGGAGGAGATGGGCGGCGCACTGTTGGTTATGTACGAGGGAGATGCACGACATGTTGCTTGCTGCTAGTTAATCTCCGTATGCCATTTGAGGGCAATTGGGGTTGATGATGCACGCACAGCCGTCAGCCGTTGGTTTGATTTATCATATTTTGGAGATGTTGACATTGAATTATTTGGTCCATGGAGGAAGCACTACTTCCTACAATATGATTACTACTTAATGACATTGTTCTTATTTTGCAGGATTTTATTGTATAATTATGGACATTGACATTAAATCACAATATTGTCAAAGTTTATTACATTAACTTTTACAAAATACAGAGCAAATGTGACAATGTCAAAAAAATGTCAAAAATAACAATGACAATTTCAACACTATAGAATCCCATTGTAATAATGACAATGTCAATGTCTATCATAACATTGTCAGTTCTATGATATTGAATCCGACCAGACTGTGCTCGCCTCTAATGAAATTTCATTGTTAAAAACAACATTAATGCTAAAAAAGTGATAATATTTTCGTTAATGACATTGAGATAATGTGATGTTGGCATGCCATTGTAAAAATTGACAATGTCAGAAAACTCTAACAATGTCAAATAATAACAATGACAGTGTCATTGCTATAAAAAATGACATTGTAAAAATGACAATGTCAATGCTGAAGTCAAATGTTGTGACGTTGAAATGCTACATTGGAATATTTTGTGACACTGTCAAGAATTGACATTGTTTTCGTTAATGACATTGAGATAATGTGATGTTGGCATGCCATTGTAAAAATTGACAATGTCGAAAAATTCTAACAATGTCAAATAATAACAATGAGAGTGTCATTGTTAGAAAAAATGACATTGTAAAAATGATAATGTTAATTCTAAAGTCAAATGTTGCGTGTCAATGTCAATCCTGTAAAAATGACATTATTAAAAACAATGACAATGATGTAAATATAACATTGTTTTTATAGAAAAATACATTTTTGACAATGTTTTATAATGTCGTTGTATGACAATGTAACAATGTCATTGTTTAAAAATTAATATAATTTCCCAAAATAAAAAAAGTAAGAAAAAAGTAAAAAAGTAATAAAAACTTGAGAATGTTAACGTAATTTATTAACATTATCTATTTTCTTCACACTGTCATTATTTATTGTGATAATGCCATGACATTGTTAATGAAATTAAAATCAAACAATTGTAACTAACTACATTCACATTGTAAATTGTATTCGTATATTGAAAATAGTGTCAATAATATAAAAAATGCCACAGTATTAAGATTTATCAACAATGTCATTATTAATGATGTAATATTGATAATATTGATAATATCATTGTAAAAGAACCCCATATTCCCTCATACTACAAAACACATTAGTGGCATTCCTAATCTGCAAATATCGAAACCAAAATAGAAAGAAAAAGAAACCAAAATAGAAAGAAAAAGAAATATTCGGCCATGTCACTGGAAATTAGACCCAGATTGCAATTCTGAATCTGCAAAAATCGAAGAAAGACCGCGGATCTAAAAACGGAATCCGGAAAATTGGAGCAGCACCGCAGATCTCCAGCACACATCCAAATTGTGAATCTGCAAAAACATTGAAGCCGCAGACGTCACTAGACCTATCCTTGCTACTTCCTGGACACCACCGCAGATCTTAAATCGGAGAAATCGTAGCAATTGATGATGGTTTAAAACCCCAGTCATTGATTTGGATTTGAATCGCCGACAGAAGGAGATAGAGACATAAAGAAGAAAAGACGGTACTAGGGATGGCGGTCTCTAACAGGAGATGATGGCGTGGTAGGTCAGCGGCGGCGTGGGCTGTGACGCGGGCAGAGGCTTTTAGTGTTCTATCTGTGAAAAGAAGAAGAGGTGTTAGATGGGAACATCGCCATTGTTGTCCGTCGGCGTTGATTCTCGTCAGCGCCGCTGGTTTACGCCGTCGCTCCACTCGCCGTGCTCCGCCGCATTCGCTGACCGCCATCCATCTTTAGTTGTGATTCCTTTGGGTTCCAGAATCGTTCTGTGCGGTAGCAGAAAGCTTTAAAAAAAAGAAAGGGCAAATTTGGAAAAGATGGTAAAACAAGTCCTATTTAGGAATTAAAAAAGTCAAGGTCTTATTTAATTACATAGGGAAAGTTAAGCTCCTATTTAGCATCATTTCTCAATATTTTATCAAAACTAATACTCCCTCCGCTCCCTATTAAAGTTCACGCTTTGACTTCACACACATTAAAAAATTAAATTTGACTTTACTGTGGAGTGCATTGTTTGACACTGTTTTGCAATGTTTTGTTTCCTAAAATGGAAGTGTGAACTTAAATAAGGAACATCTCGAAAAGGAAAATGAGAACTTTAATAGGGACCGGAGGTAGTATAATTAAGCGAACTTACAGGCTGCCAAAAGCATGTCATCATGAACTCTAATGGTGCCCGACATAATCAGACCTAACCCCAATCCAGGGAATATGTATGCATTGTTAGCCTGAAGATCACATAAATATATCACAATTAAGTTTATTTATAGATATAGTATAATAATGTTAATAAATTCCAATGAGTGCCTAGGGCTAGATGGATTGCAAATTAAAGTAGAGAAAATTGCTGGTAATATGACTAAAAATTAAAGAGGCTGTGGTTCTTATTAAAATATGACTAATTAGTTTTTTTTTGTTTCTGAATTAATATGCTACTATCACTCATACATATATTAGTCATAAATTTTCCATCAAACTAGCTATCAAAACGTACGTACAAGATCAGACATTATATTGAAAGGTACCTGTCCTGGAATTAACATCTTCCCCTCATATTCAACCGGATCGAATGGACTTCCGCTAGCAAAAATTGCCCTACCCTGTCATAATCGATCATATATGGTAGGTATGTATTGTCATGAGGAATTTACCAAAATACGGGTTTTTCCCATCTGACAAGCCAAATTACGGGAGTTCCCTTTAGGTTACCAGAATACGGGAGTCGGATTTGGCAAATCCGACCAGGGGAGGGCTCCATATTAGCGCAAAAAAAACCTTTTTTTTCTCCCTGTCGGAATTGGGAAATCCGACCAGAGTTTAATTTGTGACTTGCTTTAATTTCTTCTCACCGCAATCTTTCAAAACATTTTTTTACCCTGTCGGAATTGGCAAATCCGACTAGGGAGTATTTGTGATTAGTTTTTATTTTTTAAAATGGGATACATGTTTGATTTCCATTCTTTTATTTTACCAACCTGCTACAAATTTATATGGTCGGAATTGTGACTCCAACTGGGTTTTTATGGGGGTTTATCCCTCAATATTACTAAATTTAAGCTAATTACCAACCCGCCAAACGTTTGAGAACTACGTTATTTATGTGTTGTCATTTATTGTTAATAGTTTAATAAATAGTTAAATGTACGTCATTACATACTATGATAATTATAATATTGATAGAGTATATGGGCCTGGACCCCATGGCCCACATACTCAACGGCCCAAAAGACACCCGCAGGACACCCGCATCGTCCAAAGGCGCGCAACGTCCAAAAGAGAGAAGATATCAACTAGGTCCTTGGGCAGAACCCAGGATCCGCATCGTCCATGGACCGCATCGTCCATGGACCGCATCGTCCATGGACCGCATCGTCCGGACTTCGCCCAGGCAGAATGTGTTTTTCATTGTATTTACTAAGTATTGTACACAGCCCATTAGTGGCCTTATTTCGCCCAAAGAAGGCATGATTATTGTAAATGGGCCTCCTAAGCCCAAGGCTAGGGGCCCAAACCCACATTTTTACCTATAAATAGACCCCAAGGGGCTAATTATGGGGGGTTCCAAGTTGAGAAATATAATCACTCACTTTCTCTCTCTAGCTCTCTCTTCTCTCTAGAATTAATACTCTATCAAATATTTAATTTCGAAATGTAATATTATAAGTACACATTAAGTTATTTGAGTTAATTTCAAACCATGTTCAAGTTAATATTATACATTTTCTATTTAATGTAATATTATACACATTAAGTTTATTTGAGTTAATTTCATACCATGTTCAAGTTTATTCCCGATATCATACTCCTGCCCATAAAATATAATCTGATAGAATTAATCTAATAAAATATAATCAGATAATTTCAATAATATCAAATTTAATCAGATAAATATAATCAGATAATTGAATAAGATCAAATTTAATCAGATAAATTTAATCAGATAAATATAATCATATAAATTTAATCAGATAAATTTAATCAGATAAAAATAAAGTGACAAGAATTCAATACTTTATCTGTCCGTCCGATCAGCACAAATTGAATACTCCTACCTAACTACACTAAACAAGCATATTCTATCCCACGGTTCACATAAACCATGTGGATTAGAATCCAACGCAAGTGGTGCACAAATACTCCTAGTCGGAAGTGCCTAATCCGACAGGAAGGGAGATTTATTTTTTTTCGAAAGCCTACCTCTAGTCGGAACTGGGTGTTCCGACTCCCGTTTTTTGGTAAACCCTAGAAAAATCCCCGTATTTTGGCAACCCCAACCCATTTTTCCCGTGTTTCGGTAAATCACCCTATTGTCGTCTTCAAATTAAAATCATGCACATTGATGGTAGGTAGGGGTAAGGTGGAAAATATACATAAATTGAAATCTAACACGTATTTACCTTGGTCCATGTATAAGCCTCTTCCGCTGTACACTCAGCTTGGGAAGTTGGATTGGATAGAGCCATGATAACAGGTCGCTATATATACATCGTTCAATGACATTTACTTTGTGATAACAATACATAATATGCACGCACATAACTAATCAAGTACTCTCGCTACACATAAGTGAGAAATACATCTAATGTGAAAAATGAGAATGAATCTTATCCATTAGATTTACGACGTTGCACTTGTTGGATTATCTCCTAGACTCTAATTGCACAGATGAAACACACGCACACTATGTAACATCAATGAACACAGTAAGAGATTTACACCAAACTTACTCGTGTGATTAATACTTTTGTCTTGGAGGAAAAACCCAGTACATGGATCAGAAAAAACCTCCAACACCACCTCCTATATATTACAACTCGAGAATGGGGCAATGCAGTTGAGAAAAAATAGCAACCACTACTCCTATATGCATGCATGACCCTTTGACATGTTCACACACATGCACATGTCAACATTAGGGTATTATTTTTATAACCAAAATGCACCTAAATGAATGTGAATGACTTAAATAGACATACTGACTTAAAACAAGTTTAAAACAAAACGTTGACCAACATACACCCCCTTAAACTTGTTTTCCTTTGCTCCTCAGTTCTTGGTATTCATCAGTCCAATCTTGTTTCTTAATTCAACGAACCTTTGCCTTCCAAGTGGTTTGGTCAATATGTCTGCCAATTGGGTTTCCGTCTTGGTATATTCAAGCTGTATATCTCCCCTTTCCACACATTCTCGAATGAAATGAAAACGTGTATCAATATGTTTACTTCTTTCACGGAAAACTGGGTTCTTAGCCAAAGCTATGGCAGACTTGTTATCAATCTTCGGAGTTGGTTTCTCACTTACTTGTCCTAGCAGACTTTCCAACAATTTCATGAGCCAAATGCCTTGACAAGCACCTCCAGTACCTGCAATGTACTCAGCCTCACATGAAGGACTATCTTTGATAGGACTATCTCCCATTGTGATAGGACTATCTCCCAAGAAGTATAGTATTCCAGTAGTGCTCTTTATATCATCCACATCTCCTGCTAAGTCACTATCACAGTATCCTATCAAATTTTGGTTCTCTTGCCCCCTTTTAAACACACAACCAAGCTCAGTTGTACCCTTCACATATCTCAATATTTGTTTGACAGCATTCAGATGTGAAATAGAGGGTGATTCCATGTACCTGCTCACAATTCCAATTGAATATGCAAGGTCAGGTCTTGTATTGAAAGGGTACCTTAGGCTCCCAATGATGCTTCTATACAGGGTTGGATCCACAGTTAGTTCCCCATCAAATCTGCTCAGCTTGTTCCTTGGTTCCATGGGAATACAACATGGATTGCATCCTGACATTCCCATTTTCTCCAGTATCTTCTTAGCATAACTTTATTGGCACAAGCTGATGGTCTCCTTGCTTTGCTTTACTTCTATTCCCAAGCAGTAACATAGAAGTCCCAAATCAGTCATTTCAAACTGTTTCATCATCTCCTTCTTGAAATCAGTTATGAGTGTTGTGCATGATCCTGTGAGAATTATGTCATCAACATACACACCTACAATGATGACATGCTCTTCTGTTCTCCTCATGTATACATCATATTCATATATGCATTTCTTGAAACCCAATGATTTCAGACATTGATCAAGTTTCTCATTCCAAGCTCTAGGAGCTTGTTTTGGTCCATACAAAGCTTTGTGCAATTTCAGTACTTTGTTTGGATTCTCTTGATCAATGAATCCTTCTGGATGCATAACATACACTTCCTCTCTCAATTCTCCATTTAGGAATGTTGTTTTTACATCCGGGTGATGAACTTTCCACTATTTGTGTGCTGCAAGAGCTAATAGAGTTCTTATAGTCTCTATTCTTGCTACAGGTGCAAATACTTCAGTATAATCCACTCCATATCTCTGTATATACCCTTTTGCCACCAATCTGGCCTTATATTTTATAATATTGCCTTCTGGCTTCTTCTTGAGCTTGAAAATCCATTTCAAGCCTATGGCTTTGTGCTTATTTGGTAAGTCTGCCAGTTCCCAAGTTCCATTTTTCTGGATGGAATCAATTTCAAGAGCCATTGCCTGCCTCCACTCCTCATGACCTGCAGCTTCAGTGTAATCAGTTGGTTCCTCAATAGAAAGAAAACACAGGCTTACCTCCTCATTTACATCCCTGGTTGCATCATAGATCTCTTGCAAGGATCTGAAGTGCAGGGGTGTATCACTTGAGTCAGTGCTAGTGTGGGATCTGGATGTCCCCATAGGTTTGTCATGTGTAAGAGACACATCATTCCCATTTTCATCTCCTGAGTTTGATGTAGAGTGATCATCTTCATTTCTTTGCTCCTTTCTATTTACCTCAGCTGTAAACCAGGCTCTTACTTCTTCATGCCTTCCAGTTTTGCTCTCCCAATTCCACCCTTTGTGCTCTTCAAATTTTACATCTCTACTTATCACAATTTTCTCCTTGACTGGGTCCAGAGGTCTGTAAGCTTTGGACCCTTCCTCATATCCAAGCATGACAGCCTTAATGCTTCTATCAGCTAGCTTGCTAAGGTGGGGTTTTACAATCTTAACATGCGCGAGACACCCAAATACACGTAGATGTTGTATATTTGGGGTTCTTCCATACCAAGCTTGATAGGGTGTCATCTCTTCCACACTCTTGGTTGGAGCCCTATTCAACAAATACACTGAGATATGGACTCCCTCGCCCCAGTATCTTACAGGCATGCACTTGCTCTTTATAAGACTTCTTGTCATCTCCATGACAGTTTGATTCCTTCTCTCCACCACTCCATTTTGCTGGGGTGAATATGGTGCAGTTAGCTGTCTTGTTATTCCTTCTTTCTCACAGAAATCCCTGAAATCTTGAGAGTTGAATTCAACTCCTCTATCAGTCCTCAAGCACTTCAATTTTTTTCAGCATCATTCTCCATCTTCTGCCTTAGTTTCCTGAACACTTCAAGTGCATTACTTTATGTTTCAGTAGTGTGGCCCACATAAAATGTGATAGGTCATCTACCAAAAGCATAAAGTAACTACTTCCTCCTGCTGTGGGTGGTGAAATTGGTCCACATAAGTCTCCATGTACCAATTCTAGTTTCTCTTCAGCTCTAAAAGCTGCCTTCTGAGGAAAAGAAGTCCTACTTCTTTGTTGCTTTCCTACCATGCATCCATCACAGACTTGGTTGCTTTGAGTAATTTCTGGCATGCCCTCTACCATTTTAAGACTTGTGAGCTTCTTCAAGGCCTGAAAGTTAAGATGTCCATATCTAGCATGCCAAAGCCAACTTTGATTCTCAATGCTAGTCAACAAACATACCTTCTCAGTAATTTTCATATTCACTATGAACAGCTTGTTAAGTCTTCTTTGTACTTTAATCATGAGCCTGTTTGACTCATCATAAATCTTTAATGTCCCTTCTTTTAGGACAACTTGACTACCAGATTCATCCAGTTGTCCAAGGCTTATGATGTTACTTCTCAGCTTTGGTATGAAGTATACATGGTTCAGGATCATATGCTCAGCAGTTTTGCATTGAAATAATACTGACCCAAGACCTTGTATATCTATCATAGAATTATCTCCAAACCTCACCTTGCCATGAACTGAAGTGTCAAGTTCTGAGAATTAATTCCTGTTACTTGTCATGTGATTACTTGCTCCAGTATCCAAATACCACCAAGATTCTGACCCGCTTTCTTTAACTTCATCAAGCACTCTGCCCTGACCTAGTGAGTTATGTGATTGTGTCAACTCACATACCTCCACCATCATCAATGCAACTTGTTCGGGTTCCTCTTCTTCTGCCAAGTGAGCCTCACCTTCTTGATCATTAGATTCACATTCATATGCAAAATGCCCCAATTTTCCACAGGCATAGCATTTAAGCTTTGCCTTGTCAAATTTCTTCTTCTGCTTTTGCTCCTCTCTCTCTCCCCATGTGAAACTGCACTCCCTCTTCCTCTCCCATGACCTCTACCTCTTCCTCTTGATGTGGTTTGGTCTCTACTACTCTTGGGCTGTGATTTGGTGTTTGCTCTAGCCTCCCATTCTGCCCTGGTTAGCAGAACAGTTTCTTCTTCTCCTATATGAATGCTTTTCATCCTTTCTTCATGAGCTTTGAAGGATCCTATGATCTCTTCTGAGGTCTTGATCTTGAGGTCACCAAATTCCTCAATTCCTGATGCAATTTGTAAGAGCTTTGGTGCTGCTGCTCTCATGAGTTTCTTTACCACCTTCTCTTCTTCAACAACAATTTCAAGCCCTCTAATCTTGGTGATGACCATCTGAAGTCTCCCTACAAACTCATCAACATTGTTAGTGTCCTTCATTTTCATTTCATCAAACTCCCTCCATAGTGCTTGAGTCCCGACTTCCTTTACTCTCTCAGCACCAAGGTTCATTGTTCTCAGCATGGCCCATGCTTCCTTAGCAGTCAGTTTAGCTCCCAATTGTAGCAAGGTATCTTCTCTTATCCCTTGGTAAATAGCTGCTAGAGCCATTTTGTCTCTTCTATTATTAACAGGTTCAGATGACTCCACTGCATCCCACACTCCTTGGGCTGTCATGAAGACCTCCATCTTGATAGCCCATGCTGCATAGTTACTCCTTGTCAGCATCGGGTATTTGAGTGAGACTGAACCTTCATTGTCTTGAATCTTCATGATATCATCTCCATGATGGGTATCTCCTATATTCCCATCTTCACTCTCAGATGAGGTAGAACTCATGATCGGTTAACCAAATGCTCTGATACCAAGTGTTGGATTATCTCCTAGACTCTAATTGCACATATGAAACACACGCACACTATGTAACATCAATGAACACAGTAAGAGATTCACACCAAACTTACTCGTGTGATTAATACTTTTGTCTTCGAGGAAAAACCCAGTACATGGATCAGAAAAAACCTCCAACCCCACCTCCTATATAATACAACTCGAGAATGGGGCAATGTAGTTGAGGAAAAATAGCAACCACTACTCCTATATGCATGCATGACCCTTTGACATGTTCACACACATGCACACGTCAACATTAGGGTATTATTTTTATAACCAAAATGCACCTAAATGAATGTGAATGACTTAAATAGACATACTGACTTAAAACAAGTTTAAAAACAAAACGTTGACCAACAGCACTAAAATAGTTTCATACTCCACTATGATTTAGATTTGGTTATGTTGCACTAGAACAACTTCAATTCATGTTGCACAGACAACTTGCACTGGGATTTGATAATGTTGCACTAGGATTTGACAACATTACACCAAACAGCTTCATGGTGCAATAGACAGATGTGGCACATATTTTTCAGAAATATATA